GCTAGATACAACTTTGTGATTATATACTATACATTTTGATATTTATAATGTTTCTTTTTCTTTCTTTTCCGTTTATCTTCTCCTCTCTCATTTTTAATTTCTTTTCCTTCTCTCTTTTCTCCTTTTTTTTTTTGGGAGTTTCACTAAAACACCCAAAATGGAGGTTGAAATTATAAAAAAACCCAACACCCAAAACACTTTATAAACACACCCAAAACCCATCATTATACACACTCAAAACCCATTTATAAACACACCCAAAAAGTTGACTTTGGGGTTGATTTTGGGTGTGTTTCTATGTTTAAATAGTGCTTGGGTTTTTTTATAAATACATGTCTAGGATTGGGTTTATTTATAAGTTTTTTTTTTTTTTTTACTTCTCTTTAGTTTTCTCTCATCTCTTATTCTCTCTCTCTCTATTTTTCTCTTTCCTTCTCTCTTCTCTCCTCTCTCTATCCTTCTTCTTTTTTCCTTATATTTTCTCTCATTTCTCCGTTTTTTTAAATTAAATTTTTTTAGTTGTGACTTTTGTAACATGCATGTTATTATTTATCAACCCGTTACACGACTCGAAACCCGCACGATAAAAGACGACTCGAACCCGACACTACACATTTATTAAATGGGTTGAGTTTGGGTTGAGCATTCTTGACACGTTTAATATCCCGACACGACACGAACCCGACACGACCCGACCCATTACCAGTCCTAATGAGCATATCTGAATATTTGCCCTACTTTGTTTGACTAATTTAACATTTATCTTCTTTCAATAGTGGTGATAGTATCATGTGTGATATTGAAGGTGGGGCTGCCAGTGATAAGTGGTGGCAATAGTGACGATCATGATGTTGGTATATTGGTGGTGATGGCTGGCTAATGCAATGTTTTTTTTTTCCTTCTTAATACTCCACCCTCCTGGAATTTAAAAATTAACAACTATTTAAATGAAATTTAATGTTGGAATTGATCACTTCCAAATTCCCAGTTTTTTTTAAAATCTGTATTTTTTTAAACACGTTTATTTTCAAACAAGAGAATTAGTATATGTCAATTTAGAAATTCTAACTTTTGTCCAGATTTCAAGTTTATTTCCTCACTCAAATGCATGGTTTGAATTATTGTATGTATTCCAACTAAAAATTAATCTTGTTGCATATCTTTTTCAATGCTGAAAGACGTTCAAAAATTTGAACCGTTTCTCCGCCATTTGATTAAAAAAATACAAATTTATAAATAAACCCAATATTAGACATGTATTTATAAAAAAACCTAAACACTATTTAAACATAGAAACACACCCAAAATCAACCCCAAAATCAACAATTGTATATTTTTTGGGTGTGTTTATAAATGAGTTTTGAATGTGTGTAATGATGGGTTTTGGGTGTGTTTATAAAGTGTTTTGGGTGTTGGGTTTTTTTTATAATTTCAGCCCCCATTTTGGGTGTTTTAGTGAAACTCCCTTAAAAAAACAAAAAAACAAAGAATCATTGTACATGTGTGGGGGGGATAAAAGACACGTACCCGGACAAGTGATAGCCTAAAGTTTTTAAAGTAGGAAGAAAGTTGCCTTTTCGTTTTTATATCTAGCCTTCGTAGGCTTCTGCTTGTATCCAGTCTGGCTCAGTTCTGATCTTCCTTCTGTCTTCTTTTCCTAATGGATTTTTTTTCTTCTTCTTTTTGCTGCTGCAATGAACAATTTATTAAAAAATAAGACAAAATAATTAGCTCTAAATCTATATTATCCATACCTATATAAAACGCATAAATTCCCCTACCAATATTGTGCATCATAAGCATTATGAGCTGAGTTTTTTTTCTGATCAATGTGAGTCTCAGACATGCTTAGGTTAACTAAGGCACAATGCTTTTAACTTTTAAGTGCTTTTCTAAGGCTTGTATAAGTGCTTTTTTTCTTTTAGTAAAAGCACCCAGAAAAGGGGACTAGTATTGCAATGCCCATCACGGTTGTGAATCTTCCCTCAATTGTGTCCAAGATCATGAGCTTGAAGCATATGAGAGAGGCAGAAGGGTTTCATCTCCAGATTTAGTTTGTAATTTTCTCTGGAGGGAGAACCGTTTTCTCCTCCAAATAAGCACGAAACACTACTGTGTTTTAGAAATTGACTTCCACTATCTACCAACAATCAATTGCAACACAGGGCATCTTTGAAATATTGGGAATGCATGGACCTACTTGTTAAAAAGAGCAATAATTATCGAATAAGCTAAATCATCTTGCAATTCCCAGAATATATATATATATATATATATATATATTCCATGTTGATCAGCCTAAGAGGGACTGTCTCCATTGAAAAATGAGAGATGTTCTTCTGACTCAATAGTATGATATCATATGTTGAGTCGTAAAATTGTGAGTTGTATAAAACCATTGTTGTGTTGAATCGTGTTGTATATGTATGATTTAGATTCACAATATGACGATATAACATGCATGATACACAGTAATCAAGAAATCAATATTCTTAAAAGATGAGGTAGAATATTAGCCGAGATGATCGATGAGCAGATGGACATGGGTAGGCCCAAAAACAAATAAAATCAAACTATTGCAGGTTTGGACTCTTCGAACTCCGATTTGGGGCCATGACTCCCAAGAAAACGACAAGAGTCAAATTAACATGGTTTTCTAGGTTAAATTACCATTTTAAGTTTTAAGGGTAATTTTGATTTTTGTAATTTTCTAGTTAACTATCATCCCAAGTGGGTTCTAGGATTTGAGGGAGTATTAAAATCAACTTTAGATAAGAGATTAGAGGTGTTATTACTTTTCTTATTATTAAAACTTTGAGCTTCTCTCAATTTTATAATAGATTCTTACGATGTGTCAAAAGAACACCGAATTAGGTTTCGTATGCCAAGTGGATTTTAGCACAGTCTGCGCTACTTTGAGAGACTGAACAAATTGCAAGCAACTTCATAAAAGCAAATATAAGCTTCCTTACAGATAAAGAAGATGCAGCTTTCAAATGATAAGGACAAAGGCTTCAACTGCATTAGGAATTAATGTGGTCATGAGAGGTCAAAAAAGCTGCACTAAAACAAGAATCAAAGGTGGTGTGGCCACTGGGAAGTCGGTCGTGAAGTGCTAAACTCTACAATGTTGGGGGACTCTATTGACCTATGATTGACAGAAAAGGGGACCATGGCACAAAGTCATATCTAGACCAACCTCCTCCATACAATCTTGTATTCTCTCAGCAGTGGGCACAAGTTCATATATATCCCAACTACATGATGGTGCTGCTGCTTTATTCACATGTCAATGGCCAAGTTCATCGGTTTTCATCCAATTCTTGCTTGTGAAAAGTCCAAATAAGTCATTGTCCAAGTACTAAAAGGGGAAAATAATTGTGTGTAATCTTTAGATATTAGTATCTAATAATAAACTATTTGTGCTACATTTACCCAGCATTTCATGACCGAATATCTCACGTAGTTGAGACCAACTACATAGTAGATCTCACCTACATGAGAGATGTCATCAGTAAATGCGGTACATATAACACTATGCTCTCTAATTATCAATGGTGTTTGGGCCTTCGACTGGATGATCTGGTCCTGGTCTAAGCGTGTTGCATGATTGGTAAAAAAGACAGATATGTACATGATGAGAATCATGTTATATGGAGATGAGAAACACATTAAGCACTTAGGAGGTGATGGTTTTCGGTTTCTGATTGCTTAACTATGGCAGGTTTGTCAAATATGTCTGCTGGGTTAACTCTGCAATATCATATGGGGAATCAAATTAAGGGACCATTATGACACCACCATTCACACTACATATATGCTGCAAATGGGATGGTAGATGTTGATGAAAAGTAGGAGCAAACTTCAATAATATACCAATAAAGTTATATAGTATCTACATATCCACCAAGCCATGGAGCCTAGCAGGCCAATATCTGTCCATTTCTTCTGGGTATTATTATTAGGACTTTCTGGTCATTTGAGGTGGGTATTAGGTCATGAGAAAAGGGTTTTGAGTTGGTCTTGGAGCTCTTGGGGTAGTTTAGCAAAACAATTACAGTGGGAGATATTGTTCAATCTACCTATTTGATCCTTCATGATGAGAAAACTAGATTGTACCTGCATTACCTGTACTATTGTCTCTTTGTCTTTGTACCTTGGGAAATTTTTTTTTTCCTCTTTCTAAGACACCATGAGTTATGCAGTGATTCAAAAGATCATGAATCTTTAGAGTTGTAGGTATTAAACAGTACAATTTTTTTTTTTTGGTTCTGCTGGAAGCTGCTTGCTTTTTCTATGGAGAACACCTGTACTAATAGCTTTCTATGGAGAACATCTGTACTAACAGCCTGCCAAACAGACAAACTCCTGTTTGGTCTCATTCAGGAAAACATAAGAGAGTTCACGGGCTAGCTTCTGTTGATTTTAACTACTAAGGCCAGAGAGCTTTGTTTTATATGTATAAGCAAATGCTGGTTAGTTGGATAAATTAGAAGAAAAGTAAGGTTCCTATTTAAGAAATTAGCAGTATCTATCTGTAGTTCAGCTAGATTAGATCATTCAAACCACAATAACGGTTCTCCTTGTCGTGTCATAGAAAATTCTCCGATGCTTAAGTCAGTAAACTAGTCGTTTACTAGATTTCAGCAGAGTTTTGACCACACAATTCTGCTCAATAAATGAGTGCTTAGTATAAGGGTTTACTCTATAGCCATACTAGTTACCTTCTCACAAACATTATGAATGTAATAACAATGCTTTCAGTAGAAAATCTAGTGACTTCCCATCATTAATGGGAGTTGATTTTGCTGGGATATGAAATGACTCTTTGCATTATCCACTATACCAGCAATAACTTGGATACTTGCCTATGAGGTTTTGAGCTACAAACCTCAACAAAAAGAACATATTAACAATAGTAATATTAAAATACATGTGTCATACATACCTAGAAATCATCAATTCTGAGGAGTTCAATTTATGAGTACCATGCAAGCTGCAATTAATGTGACATCATCAATATGTATTGACTTCTATGATTCTGTTTAATCTTTCTTAAAGCACTTGTATATATATTTAAATTTAATGACTACATTACAATCACATATCTCTGTCAGACTGTCATGGGTTGGTACAAAGCTAGCACTACAGATACATAATATGCTACTGAAGAGAGTTCACCCAAACACTTCAAATTAACCACCATGGGTTCTCTGCCAACTGAGGTATTCAGTGTGGAGCTGCAGCAGCATCCGCATCATGTTGAGGACACTACTGGTCGGGTTGAGAGAGCTCAGTGGTTGCTCAATTCTCCTGAGCCACCGGGTCTATGGCGGCAGCTCCTTCATGGAATCAAAAGCAATGTTTTTCCTGAAGGAAATAACTACTCTTCTAAGCAGAAAACTCCAGCTAGCCATGCGTTTTCGTTCTTTCGGGGTCTGTTTCCGATTCTTAGCTGGGGAAGGAATTACAAGGCATCAAAGTTTAAAAACGATGTGATGGCCGGCTTAACACTGGCTAGCCTTAGTGTTCCTCAGGTAAGTCTCCTAGCTTAACTTATACTTAGAAAAACATTATAATTGTCATTCTAATAGGATATTCTTCTTCCCTCTTTGTGTCTTTTTATGAATTCTGGCAGAGTATTGGATATGCTAATCTTGCAAAACTTGATCCTCAATATGGCCTGTGTAAGTTGTTTAGTTTGGTTTCTTTATCTGCAGATTTATGTTCATTCTCAGGTATTAATTTTTCTTGTTGTTTGTTTATTTCATTTAGACACAAGCATTGTGCCACCTCTGGTTTATTCTCTAATGGGGAGTTCAAGAGAGCTAGCTATTGGGCCAGTGGCTGTGGTTTCCATGCTGCTGGCCTCCTTGGTTCAGAAAATAGAAGATCCTGTGGCCAATCCTGTTGCTTACAGAAAGCTTATCTTCACTGTGACCTTCTTTGCTGGAATTTTCCAAGCTGCTTTTGGAATCTTTAGGTATGCTTCTTACAGAAAACTTGTTTTCCTTGTGACCTTCTTTGATGGAACCTTTCAATATGTATTTGGATTGTTTAGCTAGTTCTTTTCTGGAACCTTGTTCATCCTAACAAATAGACCAATTTTTTTTATGGTACTTAACAGGTTGGGCTTTCTTGTGGATTTTCTTTCACATGCTGCCATTGTAGGATTCATGGCTGGTGCAGCCATTGTCATTGGTCTCCAACAACTGAAGGGTCTACTTGGGATCAATCACTTCACCACCAACACCGATGTGGTCTCCGTCTTGGAGTCTGTTTTCAATTCAATTGTTCATGAACCAGTAAGTTTTCTACAAGATCCATATCCTAGAAAAAAGATTTAGGTACTTCACATGGGTTGTCTCACAAGGAAAGACACTTCCAGCAGTGAGAAAATACTAATTAAGTGTACATAATTCAGTGTTTTTTGTTTTACTCTTGAAGAAAATCGAAAACCATTTCATGTATTTCATATGAAAAATGGCCAAAATATCTAGATTCTTGTTTTCTCAACCTGTTTATGTGCTTTTGTCAATTCACACAAAGTTGACAGATCTCTCTCTCCTTTGTCATGGCAGTGGTACCCTCTGAATATTGTCTTGGGTTGTTCATTCTTGATATTCCTGCTACTTACCAGGTTTATTGTAAGTATTGACAAATTTCTAGTCTCTCAAACTGCCCTTTAGCCAATCTTTTCTGTTTTAGTCGTTTAGCCCTCAAAGAACTTTCTTATCTGCAGGGCAAGAGAAACAAAAAGCTCTTCTGGTTGCCAGCTATAGCCCCCCTTATATCAGTTCTATTATCTACTTTGATAGTGTTTTTGACAAAAGCTGATAAGCATGGAGTGAAAATAGTAAAACACATCAAAGGGGGTCTAAATCCAAGTTCAGCTCATCAGTTACAACTCGGTGGCCCACATGTTGGACAAGCAGCCAAAGCAGGACTTATTTCTGCTGTTATTGCTCTTGCTGTGAGTTATCCTTTACTTTCACTATACATTTCTTCTTGATCAAGTTGTGGATTTTAATGATAATTTGAAGTTTTGATTTAATCAGGAGGCCATTGCTGTCGGTCGATCTTTCGCTTCCATCAAAGGGTACCATCTTGATGGGAACAAGGAAATGATAGCCATGGGATGCATGAACATTGCTGGATCTTTAACTTCTTGCTATGTGTCAACTGGTGAGTTATATTACTCCTACTTGTCAAAGGTGCAGTTCGAAAATCGGCATTAATTAGTAAAAAGCAATTGATTGGCTGTGGCTTCTGCAGGTTCATTTTCAAGAACAGCTGTAAATTTTAGTGCAGGGTGTGAAACAGTGGTATCAAATATAGTTATGGCCCTCACTGTAATTTTATCAGTGGAATTGCTTACTAGGCTCTTGTACTTCACTCCCATTGCCATCCTTGCTTCAATCATCCTATCAGCTCTTCCTGGACTTGTTGATATAACTGGAGCTTACCACATTTGGAAGGTTGACAAATTAGACTTCCTTGCTTGCATTGGTGCATTCTTTGGGGTCTTGTTTGCATCAGCAGAGATTGGTCTTCTTGTTGCGGTAACTTTTCACTCTTGTCATTTTAAAGTCCATCAATATGCATTAAATTCTATCTAGGATGGGAAGCTAACTAAAATTAACCAGACAAATTTTTTATCAAACTTTTAATGGTAAAATGTATAGACAGAATACTGAGAGGTAATTTTCTGATATGTGAAGCTGAATTTAAACAAGAGGTAGGCTCCATCCATGATTGAAAGTGATAATGTAGTGGTGAGGATCTTGGTAGACTAGTGGATGCTTATCTTTAGTGTGAATTGGGCCTACCAGATGACCCAGGTAGAAGGATCAGGTCAATTCTTTTGGATATTTTTCACTTTTTTTAAAATATAAAATATATAATATATTGAGACTTACTGTTGATGAAAATCTAGCATGTAGCAATGTGGGGAATGAGATCATATTGCTCACTTTGCGAAATTCTATAGTAAGGTTGTCATATATGGACTCCTCATGTGTAGTCATATGATCATTTCATTAAACTAAAGTGAAGTTGCTATTTAGATGAATCATGTGGCTAATATGAAAGTTCACATCTATGATCTATATATGACACTCTCACCATGAAAGACTTTACTCACTATACTTCATGTAACATGAGATCTCATGAGCATCTTGTAAGGCCCATATATGAATCCCATTGAGATTTGAATGATTTCAACATCCAATTGCAAGGAATCAAATCACCTTCAATTGACAAATCTAAAGTTTCCCATATGAGATTGTTATGCATGTGGGGCCATGTAGGACCCATTTTGGGTACATGTAGACTCTTACATAGTACCATTTCTCTTGTTACCCACTATATATATCACTTGGCCATTAATAGCAGTAGTATATTGTTTGATGCTTCATTTTGTTATATGTACTGAGCCCACTATAGATTATGGAGGTTTTTTTTCCTTCATGGATTGATTCTGGTGGAACCTATCAAAATGTCAATTATTATTGAATAGCTTGCAAGTATCAAGCCAAATTATTCACTAGGAATAAGATTATTGTGAGTCTTTGATGGACTGCAGGTCAGCATCTCCTTTGCAAAGATATTGGTGAATTCACTTAGACCTGGCATAGAAGTTCTAGGGAGACTTCCAAGAACAGACATCTTTTGTAACATCAATCAGTACCCTATGGCCACAAAAACTCCAAGCATCTTGATAATTGGCATCAACTCTTCTCTGCTTTGTTTTGCTAATGCTAACTCTGTGAGAGAAAGGTACGAGTTTAATCAATTAGATTGCCATGATCAAGGGCTCTTGAGGTGACATAATTAATTTCAACTTGCAAATAATTAATGCATTAGGGCTATGTTTATTTTAGGGTAATGACGTCGGTGATGAAAGAAGAGAATGAGACTGAAGATCAGAAAGAAAAGGGAAGAATTCAACATGTAATCCTTGACATGTCTAGTAAGTTCCTTCTATTTGTAGTTCTAAAGCTTGATAAAAATTTATTAATATGCGAAGCGGTTGTATATGTATTCTTTCTCTCATTTTTATCTATAGAGCAATGCTCATTTGATAATATGATTGTGAAAGAATGACGTATATTCCACCTCTCAATGAGGTATAAGTTTAAAATTTTGGCTGACTAATGTTAAATTTTTCTTATGATAGATGTGATAAATGTCGACACTTCGGGAATTCTTGCACTAGAAGAAATACACAAGAAGTTGTTTTCGTATGGCATAGAAGTAAGGCATCAGTTCAAATTTTTATTTTTTTATTTTTTTGAAGTGTCTGATATATATGTAAACTTGTTATGGATTTCAATGATTTTGTTTATGTTTGATTGCAGTTAGCTATGGCCAACCCAAGATGGCAAGTGATTCACAGGCTAAAGGTGGCCAAATTGTTAGATAGAATTGGAGGGGAGAGGGTTTTCCTCACTGTTGGTGAAGCTGTAGATGCATGCCTCAATTCCAAAGTGGCAGGTGGGAGCAGCTGTTGATGGTTTGAGTGGCCTTATTGGATATTAATTACATAAAAAACCATGACTAAACCCTTAAAATATGCATAGCCTTATGTGCTGTGACTGTAAAGTAGGGAATTAAGTAAAGAGATGTTTGAATATTTTCTTGTTTTGGCCATATACATGGAGGTTGGTTTAGTCATTAATGTTACAAAAGTGGGGAAGGAAAATTGCAATCAACTTGTAACTCGAGTAGAGAAGAGTAGTTACTTATGCATTTAAAAAAATGCATTACTACTTGGATTAATAATTCTTTTTACCCTTAAAAAAAGTAGAAAAACATGATTTTCTTCAAAATTCGAGGAGAGCAAAGACACCCTACAATCAAAAGAATTAGAAAATTGGTGTAAAATAAAAATCAGAACTGACCAACCCAAATTGCAAATCTAAGTAAACCGAATTGGCCTAAACCTATCCTATTGGGTTGCTTTACGATTTAGTTAAATCATTACAGACATGATTGATGCCGTTTATAATTTAGGCGCTATACTGAACCGTGTCCAAGCCTAAAGGCTTGTTGTATTGTAGCTCATCCAAGATATGTATCTTCTATCAATGGAGTTTTAGGCTAGTGGAAAATGACCTTGACTTACAGACTTATTATCTTAAATTCGGATCTTAATAACACATTGGCAATGTGTGTGAAAAAACGCTCTCCTCTTCCTAACTTTGACGACAACAAAAAATTATATCTTCTTATACCTAACTATGGAGGCTTAGTTAGTCGAACGACACGTCGTTCTCATTAAGTTCGCTCCAACTACACCGAATCAGGAAATTCCGCGCGTCAAAGAGTAACAATAAACTACCTAACGCCGTTATTTTCGGCAGTCTCAGACTCTCAGACCCTCTGTTTGGAAGGAAGAAAAATCCGAGAAAACGAAAGAGAAAAAAAAAACAATGGGAGCAGAAGCGGAAGAGGTAGAAAATAAGCAAGGCGAGAATCCGAGGTCCATGACGAAGGCCCAGTTCCTCGCCTGGAAACGCCAGAAGGTTTTTTTTTTCTTTTTCTTTTTGCAAAATTTCTCTTGCGTTAGATTTTTAGGGGCTAGGGTTTGTTTTTCTCTCATTCTTTCCCTTTCTGGTGTTGAATTGTATCTACATTACATAATTTGGAATTGGAAGCTTCATGTGTGATTAAATATCACTACTTTTTGGGTACAAATGCAATATAAGATATTGCTTAGAATATGCAAATAGAGGAAGTTTTCTTTCTTTTATGTGTAATTTGTTTGTGATGGATTTCAAGGTTTGTATTGATTGGTAATTGTAGATTTAAGGATTTCCTTGGAGTGTAGAGTTAGTGTGTTTCTGCTAGCAGCATTGCAAGGTATAAATTGTCACGGTCTTCCCGGCCTTGTAGTAGATTTTAGGTACTGATCACTTGTTATTCTTAAGAATCTAATGTTCTCTTCTATGGTTATAGGCTCTTGCCTGTGCCTCTTTCAGACTTGCAATATCTATAAAGAGTGTATTCTCATATGTATACATGTTTTTTTGTAGGATGATGATGCATCTGCCAGAAGAGCTGAAGCAGCAAGGAAACGTGCAGAGGACATAGCTGCAGGAACAGTGCAACTGAATGGCCGAGAGCTTTTCGTGCACGAACCTTGGGTTTTTGATAACACTCTTTATTGAGGTTAGTTTTGGTGAAGAGATGGATCTTGTTTTCTTTTTGTTGAATAATTAGAATTAGTGGCCTACTTTTAGAATGTATTAATACTATGTAATCTTGATTTCTGTTCTTGGGTGTTTTAAAATGAAAGTAGAGTGAGTAGACAGATCCAAGTTGAGATAATATCAAGGATCTATCCTTTGTCCTGATGCATCTTCTTTTCCTGGGTCTTGTTTGTAAACATTGGATATATTTGTATATCTTTTATTTGTCTACCGCACAATAATATGGCAAAGTCCATACCAACTAACTTTTGTATCTATTTTTAATTAGAATATTGTGCAAAAAATCTATGTACAGAAGTACAATAGCAGGCTAAAGAGTTGAAAGCCAGGCACAATTAACCAAATTTACATCTTTGCAGCAGAAAACCTTGGAAAACCGAGAAATAAAATCATTTAATTCTTGAAAGTAGAATCAGGAATAATCAATTCTGAAAATTGAATATGAGTATCCCTAACAACAAACCAGACTACAGATACTTAACAGCACTCCTGTATTGAAGAAAACATTTGTTCTTCTGGTTTACATAACTTCCATGCCATCTGTTATTTCTTTGTTTCTACAAATTGTAAATCAAACCTCCCCAGGCAAGCTTGATTCTTGAGGATTATATGGATGATTGTTTGTATGAACCGATTTAAACCTGTTATTCATTTGTTTCGCAAGGATCTGTGGTCTCACGTCAATTCTATCACCCACCTACCATGTTCATCCTGGCTCCTGCACAGGTTAGCTGTACCTTATTGCAGCAGCTTACTGTGGATAAAAGCCACTTCCCCAAATGAAACACTGCTATACCGCACTTCCCTTCCAATCAATCAGATGTTAAAAGCCAAGAGGCAATTGTTTATTGATCTTCCTATTTTCATAACAAGGAATGTTGTACCAATTATCAATACTTCTTAATGGAATTTAACCTTTTGGCACCTCCTCTTCCTTACATATGAGGGGATGATGTGTTCTTATTCAAGGTTTTTTTTTTTCTTCCTCATTCACATATTTATTACATTTTTTTATTCCATGGTTGCCATGCTTCTCCATTAAATTCTCAAGTCATGATTGTTATTATAGATTTTAAAGTAACATGAGAACTGGAACTAGATAGAAAATTTAAAATAAAAATATAAAAACATTTTATAAAATTCATGTAGGAATATGCCCTTAAACAGTTATGATGGACTATAATGTCAGAGTTACACTGTCTATTTATTAGTTGACCTTAATACAGTAGGATATTATAGCAAGTGTTAACCCTTGCCAGACAAGTTAAAGGTGACCAAAACCCACTATCTCTTCATTGGAGGAATTGCTTGCTTGCTTGAAACATTCGAAGATGGGGGTCAATAGGCAGGCCAATTGCCTCAAACGCTGGATCATAAAGACTATTTTTCATTTCCCTGAAACCATAAAAACTGTAATAAGTTGGAAGTTACTAAGAACAAGAAGAACATCATTCAATAAAATTTCGTAGACCTTGCATTAGAAGGAGAGAAAAGGTTAGACAACATATCCATTTCTTTTTCTTGAGATTCAAAAGTACTCCTGTTGACTTCTGTACTACTAGAAGCTGCTGAATTCCTCTGCATTTGATCCGATCAGTAAAAGATGTTTTCATCAGTGATAGTACAATGTCAGTTCTGAAACTCTTGCCCGCAGTTAAGCCTTTGCAAAACCATGGGAAGTAATGCAAGGTAATACTGAAAAGTTGATACCTTGGAGCGTTTGGCCAGCGACGATGACTCTCCTAATAGAAGTTGTTTGCCATGTCGTTTGACAACGTAGTCTTGTTGTTCTGGTGTCCCCTGCTACAACAATTTCCTTTTTCTTTCAGAAAACACTTATTTACAAAAGTTACACAAGAAAAAAGAAACTACCTATTGACAGGATTTTTGTCTAATGTGCATAGCAAAAATGTGCGACTAAGAATTCTTAAGTGGATAGGAGAGAGACCCCTAATTTACAAATGTAGAGTTCTAGCTATACATACCACTTTGAACTTTCGAAAATCATCGAGTGAGGAGAGGAAGACTCTTACTTGTTCAGTTTGGGAGTTTCGGAATTGAACACTCCTCTGAGAACTGCTATCACTTGGAATAGTAGATTGATTCAGTATGTCATCAAGTTGGAAAGGAGCAAACCTACAAAAAGAATTCAGTACGAGCATGAAGATGAAAGCACCAAGAAAACTAAACCCCTTTACATAGGTCCACCAGAAAACTAAACCCTTATAGATAACTAGCATCTCAACTTGATCTTAAACATGGCACGAAAGCAAGTTAGTTTCTAACTTTTTTTCTTTCAAAAGGAAGCAGTTCCTTTTTTCCTTGAAAGAATATATAATATAAGCAAATGAGGATCATTTAGGTACCTAAATGGCATAGGAGCTCTTGAGAGCCCAGAGCTGTGATTCTGAGGATCAGCTATGTTAGATAGCACAGAAGGCCTAGACCTTATATCAGCTACAACATCAGGTATCATCTGCACATGGTCAGGGTTTTTCTGTTGGCCACCCATTCCCTGAGGCCTAAGGAAGAAGAAGGAAGAACCTTATTGGAATTCAATAAGCACATACATAGTTGTATGTTCTATAATATCATGGAAATTAAATTGTGAAATTGAATAATTGTGTACCCAGATGCGATGATAGGTCCACTAACTATGGAGTTGTGTTGCTGTGGATAAGCTACATTAGATGCCCTAATTAAATTCCAATAACCCATAATCATAAACATAATATTTGTTGTGCTTGCCATTTTTCCAAATGCTTAAGAAAGTATTTCTCTTTCATATATAGAAGACTTCAAGTTTCTATTTGCTCACCCAGACTGCATTAAAGGATCAGGTTGTATAGAATTAGAATGGTGTGGTGGCACCGCCTGGGTGTGATTATCTTGTGTTTCAGGCAAAGACTGGACCCTACATTTCAAAATTAAGATTGAACTATATTACAATACTCTGCTCAATGTTATACAACTGTGGTTATCTATATTCAATATCTGTTCCAGTGAAGCATTATCAATGCTGTAGGAGCAAATGAAATTGGTAGCATATATATACTACCTTGCAGCAAACGAAGACTCCAGGATCCAGGGAGTCAGCACATTCTGGCTCTTGGTATGCTTAGGAGGCCTAAACTCAGAAGATATACAATAAGTTCATAGTCTTTGATCAACTGTTAACTTCCATTATCAAACTAATTTAAAAGATTAAGAAAGATGAAAGCTGGAACAGATACCAAAGAGGTGCAGAAAGCCCTGCAGGTCGCCTAGGGTGATGACATTGTTGTGAACCAAAAGTATTTGGTGGCTGCACTTGGTTCAGCTGTTGTGGCTGGTTCAGTAATTGCTGTGGTCCTTGGGGCCTGAATCAGATACATAAATATAGAGAAGTTAACAATGTGTTCATAAACAATGATTCTGTGTTCACCTTGCAAAATTTGAATTTTGTGTACCCTGTCTGTACAGCTCCATAGGGTATGCAGTTGGTCCATTGTTGGTTACACGCTCCATTAGCTGGCATAACTTGATTATTTTGGGTCCTAAATTCAATTATCACATTGAAATTAAGCATGTCAATGCATAAGCATAACTGCATACTTGCATACTAAATGTTATAAGAGCAGTCAACTAAGATGGTGATTATGGCAGGTCATGTACCAGAACCCTGATGGGGTCCAAGGCCTTGGAGGATCATTGAGTTGCTGGGGGTACAAAGTGGCTTGCTGCTGGTTGCTCTGGGATGGCCTTTGATCTGCAACTCCTAGCCCGGCCATCATCTGCTTACAGCAAACAAGTTGTGTACAACAGTATTGTGGTCAAATTGCTTGGTGAAATATCATGAAACTGATATCTTTTATTATTATTTTACAACAGGTTTGAAGGGTCAAAACAGAGAACTTACTGTGTTTATGCCATATTGACTGTGACCCAAAGTTAGAGACCTGTGCATCAAGTAATTATGTTTGAAATCAGAATGTATGCGGTAGCAAGCTTTTGCAAATGAAAAGTTTCCAAAAGAGTAGTATTTTGACTTACAGAGGCACTTGCTCCATTTGGGGATGTGACTGAATTGCCACATTTGGTTCTGGTTCTGGTTCTGGTTCTGGTTCTGGATGGTGAGGCTCCACCACACCATCACGGATAGTTACTCCCATATGCATCTGCTCATGATCAAGATGTCAAAGATAGTCGTGGATAATTGTTAGCCGTAGGTGCATATGGATCACATAGTGAATCTTGCATGCTTTGGTAACGGTTTGATTTCTCTTTGCTTAATTTACACAAGTATAAGGCTAAATTGTAGCAATGGTCCTTGAATTGTATCCCAAAATTCATTTTTGTGTCTGAATCTTAATAATAGTTAGGTTTCGCATTGCACTATGGGTCCTAATTTGAGGACGGCCAACTGTTATTGAAAATGAGGGACGAAAATACAACTCGAGATACAATTCAAGAACCATTACTAGAATGTAGCCCAAACATGATAAAAACCATGTTAATTCTAAATTGGAGGACAGTAAAATGCTTGAGGTATACATACCGGTCTTGGACGATGTGGCTGTATTGGCATGGGCAAATTAATGTAAAACGGTATTGTTTCCCTGTCGTTTTGAGCAAACATAAGTGGAGGGTTAGAGTACTGATAGCTTGTAAACCCTACAGCTCCCGGCATGAAAATTTGGGTGGAATTTGCTTGATTTAGACTGAACCAGTTATTTCCAGCTGATGATCCGGGCTCGAGATAATCCTATGTAAGAAGGCAACAAGAATAATCATCAACATCAACTAAACAAAACCTGAAAACATAACAAAAACAATTTTTAGTCTTAGATTGTACAAAAGTGAACCTTATGTGCAATAACATAAACTCAAAGTGAGGTCCGAAAAATGTTCTTTTATCATGTAGTCTAACATGTAATGTTGTTAGACTTGCAGTTAAAGTCAGTACGTTCAAATAAAAATTGGCGTAATTAATGACTTAAACTGATAATCTGACCATGCATATCATATTATAAAATCTATGTCAAATTACGTTTTAGTGTCTTACCATTCTTGGAGGATGCGGTTGTGATGCTCCTTCAAATTCAGGATTAAAGGCCGTTTCAGGTGACGGAACGTTAGAAACTGAAGGCCCTGACTTTTCCGGATTTGGTTGAGACTCATTACTTTGCAATGCGGGACTGAGTTCTTCAATCTGATCAACATCAATACAAAAAATATGACTAATGCTCCCTTTGAAATGTGACAAGCATGCTTGTTTTTTTTTAAATAATTTTTTTTAAAAAAAAAAAACTAAACCGAGAGATACAAAATGAGTTAACGAGGCCAGCTGCATACTGTTATGTGACGGTGGCTTTGCGGCGTCTCAACTAATGGAGTTGAAGATGAAGCCCCCATTGATGCCAAGTTTGCAGGTTGTTCATGGAGAGGATCTGATAGTCCGCTAAAAGGAGTGAAGGCTGACACTGTTACGCTCTCCCTCGACCTTGCCCGATTCAAAGGCTGAGAGCTTCCACTACTTGATGATCCTAGATCAACATGTTCCTGCTACAAACATCACATATTATGTCGTAAAATAATTAAGCATTAGACGTACGAGAAAAATAAAACTATTTGTATCACACTTACTGATCATTGTTAGTAATATTTTGTCGTAAAAATGAGATCCATCTAAGTGGCATTATTATCACTTACAAAATATGTCATATTTTTGTTGAAAAAATGTTAATTAAATTGAAAATGGTATAGTGTATAAGTTCACCGCAGCCTTATTCTTCTGGTTTGAAGGCATTTGCATGTCGTGATTGGTGACAAAGTGATCATCATCATCACCGTCGTCGTCAAAAGTGAAGTTAAACTGATCAAAAGGAGCTCCTCCTTCGCCAGCCGACGACTCATTCTCCATCTGAATCTTTCTGATCACAATTTATATATGCTACAAATTAATCAATTTCATAATTTATATTTTTAGAAATACAAGACTTGTTAAAGAGAAGTCATCAAATTATAAATTTCATGGCATTTATGGGACTAAATTTTCTATAAAAAAAATTATAAATAATGATTTAAATATATATATATAACCTATTTAAATACAAAAACAATTAATGAAAGGTCTGTCAATTTTGACTCTGCTCACTCCACAGACCAAAATAAAAAATAAAAAATTTCTTAAAAAATTTAAACCTTTTTAAAAATAAATTTAAACTTGAGATGAGTCCTAATATGGAACCCATTAAAAACATCTGACACACTTTTAATAAAGGAATAACTTGACTTTGCTCAAAGGGAAGCAAATTTAAGGTCAGTGGATACATGCAACAGCAGGGGCCGAAGGGCCAGATTTTCTTTCCAAAAACCCCCCATTTGATAAAACCAAAGAAAACATGAGTTTCCAGCACCAAAAAAAAAAAAAAAAAAAAAAACATGAGTCCGATAACTTAGCAAAATCTTTGGGCATGTCAAAAACTTGGCACAGCTATAATCAAATCACATAACTTCGAACCAAAACTCATGCAAAATGAAAGTGCAACTCAAAGAACAAGAAGGACTAGAAATTAAATTGGTGCAACCAGGATTGTGAAAAGTTCATGCAAGAGTGACCAAAACTTAAAAGTTCTTGTTTGGCTTTCTTGGTTTTAGCTTTAATTTTTCTTGTGAGTACAGAGAAATGATAAAATATTAAATTTAGAGTGACTGTTTGGACATAAACGTTATATAAAAGAGAGATCCGAGACCCAAAAAAATGTGTAGATTAAATCAAACTTGCATAAGCCAAACTAAATCAAAGGGTATTTTTTCATATATAAATTCCAAATTAAGTTATTTTCTTTGATTTTCTAGGAGATTCTTGTGAATTACCTGCGAATATGCCTCCTCACACGCCACAGATTGCTAATAAGCAAGATAAATAAAAACCCTGTTACTCCTGTACATGATGAAAATGGACACAACAAAGTAGAAAGGGATTACAAAATGTTCTTTTCTGTGTAATTGGAAATGTGAAAACACAACAAAAATACAAAAAAATAAAAAATAAAAGATGGGGATGGGGGATGTGAAGAAAAAGGAGAAGGCGCTGAGGATGGGGAAGGAGAGTAAGGAAGTGAAAGGAAAGTAAATACCAATACCTCTAGTTGTTAATGGGATTGGAAGGGAGGCACAAAAAGATAAAATTAACGAAGTTTTTTGTATCTTCAAATGGCTTAGGAGCTACAGCTTATTTATAGGCAAACAAACCAATATGTGTCACAAAGATAAAGGAGGTCAGCTGGTGAAAAAAAAAGAAAAAAAAAGAAAAAAAGTAACAATTCCGTACTTGGGAAATGTTTTAAGCATTTAGTGTAACCTTTTTTTTTTTTTTCAAATTTTTATTAATTATTTGGTAATTGGTGAGAGGCAATACATTAAGCTACTTATAATTAGGCCAAAAAAGAGCTTCCTTTGTTTCGTTAAGCATGACAAAAGGGTTTAGTACATATTAATATGAGTGCATGTGTGTTCAAAATGGTATGTTATTCGCGCGCTTTCTAACTCAGGTATATACACTCGGTGCAAGAATTGTCGGGAATCTGGGAGCGGAAATAACACTTTCCTTTGTGTTACTTCATCAAATAATTAATCAACTTCCAATACATACACGTGTGCGTAAAACGTGTATTAGCCAATCAATATATCACATACTTCTAGTACTTATGCCAATGAATTTCCGCATAGATTCCTAGCTTCTTTGTCGGGATCAATTTCCATTACATATGAACAAAAGGATTGAATGATGCTTAAGGACATATTTTCCAAATGAATCATGGTTAATTATATGAATAACCATATATAATTAAGGAATTCTTTTTTACATCACATAATATGTGTGTGTGTGTGTGTGAGGTTAAAAAAATGTTAATTAGTCTTCTGCTTCGATATTCAAATTAAGCTTCCCCCCCAACCACCCCCCCAAGTTTTTCAAATTTTGAGTGAGCAATTCATGCTTATTTGAATTTTCATTTATAAAAATTAATCAAATACAAATCAATATTTGTGTGGTAATTTGCATGCATGTACATGTGTAATTTGGCTGCAGTTGAACTTGACTGCAAAGTGTCGCTCATGAGCCAGAAGGTGAACCGAACACGATTATTTTCACACCTTCATTTGTTTTACATTTGAAAGCAATTAAAATCATCAGATTTTCGTAACTGAAATAACTCAGACTCTCCTCGTTGGCTTTGCCACGCTACAGGTCCTGCCATTGGCCCATGGCCAAACCTTAGTTGTATGCCTGCATGGAAATTTGTCTGCTAATTGTTCTGTTTTGCCACTTGTCGACCAAGTTGTAGGTAAAAAAGATGCCTTCTTCCGGTCAAGGTTATATAGTTCATAGAGATAAACATGAATGATGTCAGAGGTATATGGGACTTTTCTATATATATATATTTTTTTTTTGGTCTTTCGAAAATAATTTATAGAAATTTATAAAATTATTTTTGTGGAAAAGTTTACATAAAGTCGAGTGCTTCTTTCAGTCCGGAAAGAAAAAAAAAAGTTCAAGTGAGGCTAGGTTTTATGCCAGGCAAATTGGATATATTTCTTGTTTGACCCCCAAAAAAAAAAATACCGGAAAAAAAAAAAAGCCTTAGCACCAACTCAGTCCATTGAAAAAAAGCTCCCTGGATGGAACTTTGGAAGTCTGCTTGCGGCGTGCGTGACTGCTTTGCTATTCTCATCTCTCTACATGAAGGTTAGTACAAAATGAGGAATTGGTATATGATTTTATAGTAATCGTTGATATATGCTGCTGCTGTTGTTTTTTTTTTTTTTAAATGAACTGCTGTACATGTTCTTTGGTTATTAATCTCAGAGAGAGAGAGAGAGAGAGAGAGAGAGAGGCTGGTGGGGGGTGGTTTCTGGCATATTCATTTTATCTTGTGTCTTAACACAATTTAAAAATGCCCCCCTTTCTTGTAAAATTCCTGGATCCGCTGAGGATTCAAAATCGTAATATATATGTCTTTAATTGAAACCATATGGATGAAAATAGAGTATCATTCAAACTAGACACACCTTCCAATAAACACTTAAACATTATAATCCAACCAAGCAACCAAAACAGAAAGAAAGAAAAGATAAAAAAAATTATAAAACGCAAAAATTTGTCAGTTGTTTTAACAAGAGTTTCAGTGGCAGCTGCTAGATTCTCCTACTTACATGTATCGCTACAAATTATAACAGCACGCTAAGGTTTTATATTATATATATATATATATATATATATATTTTAATATGCTGCGGCATCACACATTAATGTCCATTAAGCTGAGGGACTTTGTTTTCATGATACTCTGCACCTTCATTGTAAGCTTGAACATTGGGGCTGCCCACTGGTATCTCCACCTGTTCGTGTGGCATTATTTCTGGCATGTTCGAGCCTACCATTGTATGCTGCTTCATTGCACCATCATTCAAATTAATTGACTCAATTAGAACGCCAACCCAAGATTAGAAATAACAAATATATATTCATGGCTCATATACTACTAGAAAAAGCCACGGTGTTTTAAGTCACGGCAGGAAAATGTTGGCCTTTTCTAGTCTCACAACCACAAACACTATCTTGTAAAACGGGGTAGTAAATTTTCTCTTGTCAAACACTTTAAATATGTTAAGATGTGAAACTGTGAATTTGAATAATTGATTCGGTAAAATTATGTCCTCACACACAGTCCTGACTAACCTATAATATGCTAGATATCTGATAAGATCATCACACCTACTTTTGGCAAACCTTATTGACAATATTGAAAGATGAAATAGAGTGTATGTAGGATGAAGAAATGAACCTGAAATTGTGGCAACAAGCCTGAGGGCATGAGGTTGGAGGGGTGCCCAGAGGAATTAGTGTAAGCCTGAGGCCATGGTGGAAGCTCTCCATCACTGGCATTTGTGACACTCACATGACACTCTCCCATGCTACTTGGATCTGCATTTGAACTTGTTCCTTGTGAAAACGGATCATACAGTGTCGATGACAAGTTCCTACACATTAAGAAAAACTTAAGGTATTTCATTATAATTTAATTAATTAATTCACAAACCTTAATTCGATTAATTAGGTACCTAAGTTGATGATCCAAGGGAGCAGATGCATCGTAAATTTGGGTTTGGTTGTGGCCACCGCTAGACAACCAACCTGCAACCTCATTCTCGAAGGAGCCTGGCAACACTTGCTGTATATCCACAAAATTATGAAAAATTACTTAAATTGTTTATAATTTATGCAATTTCAAATGCGAAAAATCATGAAACCTCTATGCAATACGGTACATATTTAAGAATTCAATTAAAAAATTCAACAAATCATCGAAACCGATTAAAATTATATAAGACTAAATCGGATCCATCAGTTTAAGCTGGTTGCCTTGGATCTTGAAGGCCCCAAGATTACACTACAGTATATATTCATAATAAAAGAGACATCTTATATTCAAAGATGACATGTAATTACCCCTTAAATACTCGTTTTTAAGCTTCTAGATGAAATTAAGCCGATCTTAACACCACAATGACTTTTCTTTAAACATCGATTTACTTACCGGCATTCCAGATGAATCATAGGAAGAAAGATGATTACTCAGCAAATATTCCTGCAAAATGAAAATAGAGATCATGATCAATTAAGTTATCTTCCTCATAAGAAACCAGAAAAACAAATTTAATTAAATGATGAAGGGGTGTCTCAACCTTTCTCTGCATAACACGTGTCAATGTGTCCATAAGGCTTTTTTCGCAGGATTCAAACTCCGCCATAGATGCGATTTTTAATGGGTCAGGCTCATATATCCTATATAAATTTATCAGCCAAAGAAATATAAATTTTATAGCTTAAGGAAGAAAAATTAAGATGAAATATGTTGGCAAAATGAAGAAAAAATAAATTATATATTTACTTGTAGGTTTTTTATTTTATAATTTATACCTTATCTGCTCTTCGGCCATTTGAAGTTGTTGCTGTAGTCCTCCAATTTCCTGTTGAAGTTCCTATAATTAAAGAGGAATTAACCATGTCAAGGTCAAGAATCATAAGAAAAAATAAACATATTTTTTGTTTTCTTCTCAGAAATAAAAAAAACAAAAAAAAAAACATGTAAAGGTCAAGAATCATAAAAAACCAAAGTAACATAAGCTTACAAAAACAACCTCACACAAGCAGCAAAGTTTGTACCTCAATTTCAGAGCTAACAGCCGTGGGACTACTTCGATTCAAGCATTCAGAGTTGAGGCCACCCAAGGAAAGAAACAAACAAAATCAATCAAGCTATTTATAGAAAAACGTGAAACTGTTCGGTGTGGCCGTAATGTTATCAATTCACCTATTATAACTTATATACATTTATTAATTCATATATATAAAGCAAAAAGTAAAGAATGATAAACATTCAAAATACCAGAAAATGCTCTTAGTTAATGCAAACACTAATAATTGAAATTATTAATTAAATGATGATAATATGGTAAATTTACAATTTTTCATATTTTAAAAAATTAAAATTAAAAGAAAAACTAGATAATGGATCCTATTTTTATGAAACACGACTATCTATTATCTTTTTTAATTCTAAAATAAATTTAAAAATTAAATAAATAAATAAATAAAAACTTCTCGCAGGTGCGGAAGTGCATGCGAAAAAGCTAGTATATTATAAAGTATAAACTGGATATTATCACGCGTTATAATTTTGGTGGATTTGTACATAATACCACCATGTGGTGATGTTACGGGCACACGCAAATATTTCTCATTTCTTCATTGCTTGTATTGAAAAAAAATTAAGAGCATGGAGAGGAGGGGACAAACTTGGCAAGTTGTAGAGCAATATCATTTTCACTTCTTAGTTGCTGAAGAGTCCTAAGCAAGTACTGCAAGAAAACAAACAATATGGTATATGTATATATTTATGTGGAGAAAAATGAATATATGTAAAACCACGAGAGAAAATACAATTGAGTACATTGCTAGATGTCATGTATCTGACCTCTTTGTTTTGAAGATCACTGCAAAAGGACAATAAAAGATTAAATTATATTCAACAAATTCAGACCCAAATAAAATATTCAACAAAACCAAAATATGACAAAAATGAAGAA